TTTTCTGTGTATTCATGTGTAGATCGCATGGTTTGCATTCATTTTCATCCTTTGCTGTGTGCTTGTGGTTGAATAAGGTATGGGGTGAATCACTGGACTACAATCCTGTTTGCTTGCTTTTACTTCTTTTTAGATACATATAATCATGGTAGCTTGGCTTGGCATTGGAACAGTTGTAATGGACCATGCCTTGAATTCAAATATTCCACTTAACATGTAGGAAGAAGGTGATCTAACACAAATACTTAAAATTGGCTTTGGGAATCCACATCATATAATGCTTATCTATTCTTGGTCCTGCTGGATGGTTACTATAAAAGGCACAAAACCATTTGAAATGTGGATTTATACCAGCATGCTAAGAGTTTCCTGGATCAAGAGGGCAGACCAAAAAAGAATAGTAAAGAAAATGAACAGACCGCAAGGAACCATAAGATACATAAAATACAGACAGGTAGAATACTTTGGTGGCATACTTCAGAACAAAAAGTACAGACTGTTATAGCCAACCATTCTGGTAGAAGAAGCACAAGAGTAAGAACTCATTTGCTGTACAACCTGGGTAAACACAACATCATTGTTTTAAAGGCTGCCATCTGTGTTGTCCAAAAAGCTACAGTGACATCCAATTTCTGGTAAGAACAGAACAAGAACAATGACAACACTAATGTGCATACTGCAGAATACTAGTAAGTTTATATGAAATTCTGCTGGGGACATTCAGTGACCACCCTAGCATTAAGGTGCAATGAAAAAGATTATTAGACAGTATACAGCTTGTAATATTCCAGATGTTGCTGGACTGTAACTATCACCCGCTCACCATTACCTACGCTAACATGGGCAGTTGGGAGCCGAGGTTTATCAACCTCCGGTTGGGCCAAAAATTGCCCACTCCTTGGTTCTTACAAATAAATTAGCTTCCAAACTTCTTCATGTGTTTTGCAATCTTAGGATTTTCAAACCTAGCAGATACCTTACATGTATTAGCTGGGGAGGTCAGTGAATGTCCCCTTCAGAATCTCGTATCAACTTACTAGTGTTATGCTGTATGTATGTTAGTGCTGTCACTAAGAAGAGTTGGCATTGCATGGTCCCTTATGAGAAGTCTAAGTGTCTCTACACATGTATTTGAAATTCATTTCCTATCATTTTCAACAGCTAGTTATGTCAGATATAAAATATAAACTGTATAGGCTGTTATGCAATATTAAAATAAAAGTATTGCCTTTAAAACATAGGTGCCGCTACAGTGACTAACAGAGAACACAACATATTCTTTGGTGCTGGCTTCCCTTTAGGCTGTTTCATTTATGAGAAGCATGAACTGAAATGGCCTGATCCGTCTAGACAGAGACACATCTGTACCACTACCATGGGGAAATTCATGTAGCCGCTACGTATACAGCTCTTCTTCATGAAGATGAAAGGTGAGATAGGGCCCTGCAATAACTATAACAATCCTAAATCCACCACAAAATAACACATGCCCATACACTAACATGCTCATCTCATAATTCCCACGGTATATGTTGAAAAATCCCATTATTTTCTGAACTACCCTAATTTGAACACATTTTTCAAGACATTAAATAAATGCTTTTGTGGGATAATTCATCATGTACACAGTATTCATCATATTCCCCAAATAACAACTATATATGCTGTTAATCAACTTATCTGATTTTGTTTGTCTGCTTTCTGTAAAGAATAAGAAATGTCCAGCCCTCTAAAAAGTCATATCATTCTTCGTCAACAAGGCCAGGGATGATGGGAACCAGAGTCCAGCAACACATTCCTCATCTTGGCTTTACATGGAGTTATAACAGATTGTGTGTTTTCAGTTTTTCAGACCGGGCCTACCGGGGGAAGCCCTCCCCTGGTAGACCCGGTCTACCAGGCTTTCCTGGGGAGTAGACCAGGCCTACTTGGGGAAGCCCTCTTGAGTCCCTAATGACATTGGTTTGTGTGTTGACAATTCCAAAGATAGATTACTGCAATGCTCTCTACATGGGGCTGCTCTTGAAACCAGTTTAGAAGCTGCAGCAAGTGTAAAACACAGCTGCCAGCTGGTATCAGAAACAGCAAAATATGATCGTATTTCATCAGCACTTGCACATTTGCATTGGCTGCCAGTATGCTTCTGGGCCACATTCAGGTGCTATCATTCATATTCAAAACCTTAAGCGATTTTGGACCTGGCTACTGGTCAGAGTGCCTCTCCCTCAGAATGACCTCCCATCCCACCTGTACTTCCCAAGCTATGATGTTATGGGTGGCCATCCCAAGGGAGGCCTGGGAATCCACAACTAGGGCCTCCGCAGTAGTGTGCCGCCACACTATGGAACTCTTTTCAAGGAAGTACCTCAAGACTTGTCCTTTCTTGGCTTCTAGAAAAAAAATAAAAACCTGGCTCTTTACTCAGGCTTTTCATACTCTTGCCCGTTTAATTAACTTTTTTGTCATGTGTATCTTTTTTTTTTTTACAACCTACAATTTTATAAGTTGACTATTTGGTTTGCCACCCTCTTTTATTTTCACGTAACATTTAGTACATATTTAAGTTGGGTGGGTTTTTTTTTTGGTCCTGCTCAATGTCCTGTTATTGTTATTATTGAATTTTAGTTTATGTTTGTCGATGCTCTCATTGGAAGCCATCCAGAGCAGTGGCCCAGCCATTAGATGGGCGGGTGGGGTGAAAACTGACTGACTGACTGAATGAATAAAATTCAAGGTATTACAGTACATGATTCAGTTGGGCATTTGCACTACATCATGTCTACTACAATGAGTTTGAAATGTTCTTATATAGGAATGTGTTTAGCCCACCTTGCTGCTCCATCCATCTTCAACACTGCTCTTATAAAGTTGCTACCTGAACCAGAGAACACCATGAATACAACATTACATGAACAATTAAAATGTTGTATTAGAAATCTTATGTCTGTGCTTCCCATATGAACAATGTTGTATTTCAGATTAACTATGAATAGTATGCAACTCATAATGCTCTACTGCAGAAGAATGGCAGATCAGCCCTTTCACAAATCTAACAGGGCAGCTGTCAAGCTGGCTGGACAGCCCAGTGGCTTATGTATCGGGCCGCAGAGTCAGAGGAGAAGAGCTAGCCTGTGTGGCCTTGGGCAAGCTGCACAGTTCCAAGGTGCCCCAGAAGGGAATGGTAAACCACTTCTCTGTATTCTCTAGCTGGAAAACCCTGGAAAGGTCACCATGAATGAGAATTAACTTGACAGCACACAATTATTATTACGAATATGCCACCTTATTATTTCATTCTGTATAAAACTGTTCCAGGCATGCTAACCAGGAGTGAAAACCCTGGTGTTACTGCAAAAACTGCCATGTGTGTACTAGACTGATTATTGCAGAAGGAAAATCAAAGTGGTATTTTACAAACTAATGAGAAATGCATTCATAACATGCTACCATGACCTGCTCTGGCACCAAAGAATCAGAGAAAGCAGATTTAACCGTGGGAAGGCAGCATGGAAGAGCCACAACAAGAAAGAGGATCATGCAACAGTTTCCTCAAAAAACCTAGGGAAACCATTAGGGCTTTCTTTGTGTGAACTTGCTCCTCTGCTTCACCCCTAATGAAAGTCTCTATCCGTGACAGTTTTGGAGACTTATACCATCCAGAGCTTCAAAGACAGAGGACTTCAGATTTAATTTGTGTCACTTAGCAAAACTGTCCTGGAAAAAAGCTTGAGCCAGGAGCGCCACTCCTGTGAGAGTCAGAAGCCACCACAGACAGTGGCTGGGAGCTAGAGTTGATGCAACCAACACATCAGTCAAACATGGGGAGACAACGTTGCCAATATTATTCTGACTGAAATCTACTTGTACTGGCATTCATCTGCCTCAGCAAAGATCCAGTTTCCCACAATGCGCCAGGAAAGGGATGTGCACCTATGGAAGCCCAATGGAGAGGGTGGCCTTGAAACATCAACACAGCAAGACCCACTTTTATGTGTGTCTACGTGTGTAGCAGTGGGGAGCAAGTCCTGATGTAGCCTAGCAACAAAAACTACAGGCTGGTGGAGAGCGCTGATTTGCCGAGGCAGGCTCCTCATCGGAGCAGCCATCTTTGGTGTGTAACTTACAGAAGGGATTTCATCATTCCATGCTGAAGCCACCTCCAGATGTCAGCGGTTTCCCGGCGCTGCTGCCAGCGCAGCAACTCCCAGCCCTTGCCATTCAAAGGACCTGCTCTCCGCAATGCCACCTTCACTCCTCGCCTGCCTGGACTTGCTTACTTAAGGCCGCCTACTTAAAATGAGGATCGGTGTTTCAATAGAGGCAAACCAGAGGATGATTCGACCACACACGCACACACATACATGCACACCTTCTCTTTGCGCCCTAGACTTCTATCGGAGTGGTCTCGCCTCGCTGCGCTTCTTTGTCAATGTCATTCAGCACAAAATCGGGCCCCTTCGTCCTCTTCCCTGGCTGATCGGTCAGTTTTCAACTCTCCCCATGTCCTTGATGGAGACGAGTCAAGGGAAGCGGGTGGAAGTGGGGAATGGCGGTACGTGTCCCTTTGTCTGTTTTCCTAAGGAGAACAAGCAAAGGGGAGACCAACGGGCCGGTCAGATCGCCCTCGCTCTTCGCACACCTGCCCCGTACTCAGATCCCGGTGGGAGTCTAGAGGTGTCTCCCCTTCCCCCCATCGGTGGATTTCGGGAGGAAGAAAATCGCTGTAGGCAGGCAGCGCGTCAGAAGAGAGGCCACCGTGATCGAGTGCCCGTCCAGACAAGCCCGGGATCCCCCAACGACCTGCTTTGAGTCTGCAGGCAGGCAGTCTACACTCTTAGCCCGGCGTGGAGCCGGACCTGCTTGAGATCGCGCCCCCCCCCCCGCCGCCAATCTGGGGCCACATCCCCCTTCCTCCCCCCTTTCGGAAACGCTTTGAGCCCCGTTGCATCAACCCCTCCCCAAGGGAAAAGAGACAGGCGCCTTTGGCTGCCGGTACTCACGGCGCCCGCTGCGCGCCCGGCTCCACTAGTGCTGCCGCTGCCGCCGCCACCGCTGTCCCCACAGCTCGCCCCAGGGACGGCTCTCCGGCCGACCTTCCCCTCGAATCACGCCAAGGCCGGCAATCCCCGCCGCCCCCGCCCCGGAAGACGGACTCTCGGTCAGCGCCCCCCGAAAGCCACCGGCACCGGCCAAGCAAAGGAGGCGCGCGGTGGGAGGAGCCGCAGCTTCCGCACCGCCCCCGCTGAGGGGAGTGAAAGGAAGGGGAGGGCAGGGCTAGGGGGAAAAGAGACCGGCTCCCGGTGCCGGGCCACGGACACGCTGGTTTGCCCTCAATGGAGGTCGAGCGGTCTCGGAGGCGGGCAAGGATTCACCGCCTCGTGTGCCGCCCTAGAGTTGTGAGGGAAAGCTTCGGGGCTGATGGTGGTGGTGGAGAGGGGGAATTAGTGAAGCGCTGAGCCCGTCCTCCTCCATGTGCCGGACCCCAGTTTTTGCTGAATCACGACCCCTTTCTTGACTGAGGGAGCAGTAGATAAGAGTAGTCGCTGCGCTGGAGAGAAGGGGGACAGCTTCCCTTGACCTCCCCCTCCCTCCGGCTTGAGCTCGTTGCGTGTGAGGAGCGCCCCACGTCTCGCGTTTCCACCACAGAGCGGGCTCAAGTAGACATCTGGTGGTGGCGGCGGCGGCGAGATCCTGAGCGAGCCAAGGAGAAGCCAGTGGACAGAAAGAACGTGCATGGTGTTCTGCGTGTGGTGTCCCGCCTTCCCCCGGTGGGGAGGCATTTTGAGGGAAAGTCGTCTTTGTACAGAAAGAGTTGAAGTTGCAACCGGTCCTTCTTCCCTTTTGTGGGAACTAGTTGGCGTGCATCTACCAGCCTGCCAGAGCTGTGGGTGTGAGAAATAACCGTGAAAGATGCCCCCATGCCTCCGTGGGAGGATGGGTAGCTTACGAGCTCTAGAGGTTTCCCAGGCTAATGAGGGTCTTCAGGGTCCTTCTAAGGCACTGGTTCCCAACCATGAGTGCTCTTGAACTGCAACTTCCAGGAATCCCAGCCAGCACAACTAGTGGCGAAGCCTTCTGGGAAGTGCAGTCCCGAACACCTGGGTAATTCTAGGTCTGGAACCACTGTTCTAAGAGGAGTCATGTTTTATGGTCCTCTGAGAGAAATAATCAAAATATCCATTGTTATTGTTGCTGTGGCTTCAGGGTATATACAAATATGTCACCTGAGGTGGCTGTCTCATGTAATGGTAGGGGCTGGTAGTGGATTACCTTCAGCATTGCCTGACTTTTTCCTTATTAAACTCCATATTCTAAGGGAATTTTTAAATTTGTTTCCTGCAGCCTGGCAACCACTAAGGCTATCATCCTGAATAGGGAAACCTCTGTTCACATGCATAGGAGCTCTGAGACAGAGTTAATTATATGAATTTCTTTAAGTCCTGTTATGTAGCTGCACTGATGTAAGGGGAATCACGTTGTTAATTAAAGAATGACTACTTCAATTTGAAGTTAAACATGACTGCCTGTTTGAACATGGGCGACATACAACCCTAAATCAAAGCAGGGACTCTTTAATTAGTGGCAGTCTGCTGCTACATGTGCCATCATTCTCCCTATGGATGCAAAGCTGTGCAACAGGATTTGGGCCATCGTGGTTCAATGTTTGAGTTTCAGCTTCTGGGTCTGGCTCTGCCAAATATGATGAGCAGGGAAGTCAGAAGCTAATTACATACAGTGTAACAGCTGCAAATTAAAGTCCTTTGGACTTCTGTGTGGTGGAAAAGGAGACAGCAGAAGCCCCCCAACCATGCTGTATATCTGGGCATATAAATAATATCTAAATTTCAGTCACCTAACCTACCCTTTATGAGACATTCCAACTCACTCCATCCCAGAGTCCATGATATTATCAATGCATTTTTGGATTACCTTTAAAAATATCCTACAGATGGGGAAAAATGCAAATGGATATTACCTTGGGAGGTCGTAGAGTGCACTAATCATGTGGTGCAGCCCTCAAAGCCCACATAACAATCAGCCTTCCACAATGGCACATAGGCAAAATTCTAATAGTGTAATATTATGTCAGTAAAGTTGAGTAAACAGAGAAAAAGCAAAGAAAAAGAAGCATATTCTGCAATGCAAGCAGGCTACCTAAACAGTGATGCCAGTTTTCATATTACAGCTCCATGAAATGGCTCAAGGAATGGCTGCAAGGGAATATATATACTGCATGATGACCTCAGTCTGAGTCATCCCTAGAGCTTCAGTAGTTAAGAGCAGTGGTTCTTAACCTTTGTTACTCAGATGTTTTTGAACTGCAACTCCCAGAAACCCCAGCCAGCACAGTTGGTGGTGGAGGCTTCTGGGAGTTGCAGTCCAAAACTTCTGAGTAACCCAAGGTTAAGAACCAGTGAGTTAGAGCATCAGGTGAAATTTGGGGTTATATTGGGGTATTCACCTGTCTTGATTTTCTCCTGAGCTAGCATATTACTGTACTGTACTTCTGATTTCACCTTAATTCAAAACATTGACCTTCATTTTAACCCCCTGTGAATGGAAATGAGCTAGGAAGGATCTGTTGCAGTGTTGCTCTTCCCAGGGTAGCGGGGGAGGGGGGAAAATGAAGAGCAGTTCCTTGCTCCATCCTGTGGTTGCACCAAAATCACATACAGTAAATATCGCAGATTTGTTTTTACACATTTATTTGAAGAGCGTGCACATGCCTGTTCATGTCCAATAACCTCTGCATTGCTTGGACGCATCGTTTATTGTTAGGTGCTTTCAAGTCACTTCCAATTTATGATGATTCTACAAATGAGTGACCTTCAGTATGTTCTGTCCTCTGCAGGCCTGCTCAGTTGTTGTAAACCCAAGGACACATCATGCTTGTTAAAAACACTGGTTGGGTTAAAAAGAAAATAAAAGAAAACAACGTTACTATTTTGTAGCAAAAACATAAATGGCAGCTGCTGAAAGGCAGGAATTATAATCCCACAGCCTGGCCCATTTAGGAAAAATACACAGAAAAGTTGGAGAAATGTGCAATTGGAAGACAAAGAGCTCATATAATCTTTATTAAATTTTAAAAACTCTTTCTACTTTACAGGTTACTCCATAGTCTGCATGCACATGGACTGTGACTCCAGCCTCCTCTGCCAGAATGGTCTTTGGCTCTCTGTGCTGGTGGAATGATGTAAATTGTATTTTATCACATCTGGAGACCACCAGGTTGGAGAAGGATGGTCTATGGTGTGACAAACCCAAATCTGTGCCTCCTTTCCCAGAATCTAGTTGCTTATGAACATCACAATAAAGGAGCTGTTTGTTTCTGAAAGGACTGATTTTATTTTTTTCCCCTTATGCGTAAGTGGGCACTCTGTGACTTCTGCACTCAATTTTATAAGGGCTACTTTTATAAAGGGACATAAGAAAGTAGACTGTGATAATCCTTGGTGAGGCCAATGGGATTAATAGTCTCTAGCAAAATTGGAATTCATTTTTGTGGCATGAAGGAACCTGAGGCTGGCAGTATGAGAAAAGGGCAAAGAGAAGGCAAGGCAAAAAAAATTGTAGTCTTGTATAAACTCTGTTTCTATTTTGTAAGTAGTTGGAAATGGTAATGACTCTGTTAGTATGAAACAAGTAGGTGCTGCAATACCAGGCTTCAATTTTATTATGCGCAAGTCAGAAAAACATTGCTGCTGACCTATATTAATTCCGTCCAAGATTGCAGGGAAATTTGGGTGTAAATGCTGAGATATAAAGTAGAAGGAGAAGCATTTTCCTTTATTGGACGTGTCATTTTCTGTTTGTATGAACAGCTGCACATTCAGGTGCATGCATAATTCAGTATAATACATCACTGGAAAACATTGCTCCTCAAAAACTGAATGGTGGAATAGAATAACAGAAGCTCTCTTTGGGGATTCTTTATCCATCTGAAGTCACTACAGGGAGAAAGGGAGATTTGAGTCCCACTGCCTCCATTACTGGTGCTATACATGGAGACTGATGAGTCCAAAAAGAAGAGCCCATACTATTTATGGAGGTTCTATACAGGAATTGGAACTCAGCAGCGCAACCCATGTGGGCTCTAGAGAATGCCTGGATAAGGCTAGAAGGAAACCTGTGTCTTGAATTAGTGAGCATGCCAATCCCAACCACTTTGTATCACAACAAGCTGTGAGTTGACACTTCTGCAATGTTATCAGAGGTAGCCATCCTAGTTCATTGCAGGAACAATAATAAAAAGTACGACAGCATCTTGAAAAGTAGAAAATGTATGAGGGAAGGGAGAGAGGGCATTGGAATTTATTTCCTTTTAAAAATAGTTTTTATTTATCTAAAACGTAAACATAAAACACATAAATCAAAATACAATATAACTGTGTTCCCCACCACCATAGACAGGACCTCTTGCTATAATCTTCTTCCTCCATCTATATTCTTCCTCTTCTTTTATTGTTCTCTTCTCCACAACTGCATTGATTCTTGATTTGGAGCTTTCCCCTTTCCTCTTGTTAGTACATATTCCAAGAATCTGCCCCATATTTCATAAAAACTATTCTTTTTCAACTCTCCTTTCTTAACCTTTAAATTGCAAGTAAATTTATCATTTAGAGCGATATTCGATGTTACACTATACCAGTCATCCATTTGAAATTCAGATTTTGATTTCCATTGCCTAGCTATTATAATCTCGCTGCTTTTAATAAATTAGTTATCAATTCTTTAATCATCTTATCATATTCCACATTCTCAAATATTGATAACAAAGTGATCTCAGGATTCAATTCCATGTCTTTTCCACATATCTCATTTAATTCTTTAAAATTTGTTTCCAAAATCTTTGTACTTTTTCATATGAAAGTATGTACCAATTTCCTTCTCACATTTCCAACAGACATTCAGATAACTACCATTGATTTTATTTAATTTTGTTGGTGTTAAATACCATCTTAACCACAGTTTTAAAATTTTTTCCCTTATTCTCACTGACATAAATCTTAAAACTCTCATATTCCGTATCTTCCTCCATTCTTCCTCGTTTATCCTTTTTCCAAGGTCTTGTTCCCACACTAACTTCACCCCTTCTTTATCACTTTTTTCTTCTTCTAAACTGAGCAGGAATCCGTAAATTTTACTCACTGTGCCCTTTACTGAATCCGTCATCTGAATGTC